AAGCTGATACTAGAAGAGCAGATTGATCAGCTGGAGTTGGATGTTTTGAATCGCCTTTAGCAGCAGCAGTCTGCTCTTTCGGTAGCCGCTAGTGCACACGAGGACGTCGAAGATTGAAATTTTGAATGTGACTCACGAGAACTTGTCGGAGGATTCGGCCTTGTGCATCACTACGTAAACCGTCCGCGTCATTGAAGTTGTCGGTAGGCTGGTAAGAGCTCTCGGTGAGGTTGTGATACTCCGTCGATACCGTGCGTAGGTTTGCTGTCGTGTCGTCGCTCTTGAGTTGCTCGTTGATGCAGAAGTTATGAAGCTTAATACACGTTTTAATTACTTTGCCAACGTTCGTGAAATCAACTACAAGTGGTCGTGAACATATTTGCCATTTGTTCACTAACAGCCCAAAAGACATTTCAATGCGAATGCGCAGTTGACTTAGAAAGAAGTTGAAGTCAGAGTACGCTTTGCCTTTGAGCTCCAGCTTCGTGAACGGCACCAACAAGGAGTTTGATAGTGGATAGGCATTGTCGCCGACGATGTAAAATCCAGGAGGTAACTTAAGTATATCATTTCTTAGGCTCCACTTCTTGAACGCAATTGAGTCTCCAACCTTTCCAGGAGAATTAAAACAATACCCGGTAAAACGGCAGTGGGCGTCACAAATGGCCTGTACATTCAAGCCATACATTTGATAATGCCCCGAAAAGAATGCTGCAACATCTGGCACCTCGCTCGCACTCGGGGCCCTTATTTGACAAAGCCACCCATCGATACAGCCAACACATCCACTCAAGATCCCGTCCGTGCTAATCTTGGCAAAGCTGTCAGCTAGATGATGGACACGCTGCTCGGACGACACGGGAGATTGAATGCGAAGCTCTGGGCAGTCACAAACTGCGTTCATGACATCGTGAAATACATCATATGTGCCGGAAACAGACGTGCCACCTAAGCAGCGAATTGTGTGATAGCTGCTACCGGCTAGCCAAGCAATCGTCATTTGCAGCATGTTCTCCGGCGAGATTGGATCTGTAGCAGTACGCCGAGAAGACTGAAGCTCATCGCGCGATATAGACGGCCGAATTAACATCAACAGACGCTCAAAGGAGTCCACACTCATTCTGTAACAACGCTTAAATTGACCTTCCAGCAGTAATGTCTGCTTGTGGACATTCCAGTTTAAGCGTCGGCGCTTTATACACCCTCTCGGTTCTGCTGGGTAAATGGCAGCAGTGGTAACAAGTAGTGCTATTAGATACCGGCGACGTACACGGGACGATGTCTCGCCTTCCATCCTGCTTGTAGCGATCATCTGTGCGTTTGCCGCGCCTTTGCGATCCCGCGATCCCGGCCGGCGCGCGATCTGTGCCTCGGATCGCATTGATGCAGTAATCACAAAAGTTGCACTTCAGGTCAGCCAATCACAGGCTTATCCTCGGGGCGCGCCCCCGGTTCGGAACGGCCTTAAGAGGGTATGTCGCGGCCACAAAGAACAGTGGATCACCGTTAATTCCCCGTCGAGCACCCAGATGAGTATCCCTGTGCTGTTGTTGTCTAACCCCCACCGATGTAGCTCAATGGTAGAGCTCCCGAAAGGAAAGGAGGTGGTTCAAATCCACCCATTGGTAAAAAATTTATGCTCGAATGCCTTGCAGGTCTCTACATGATTGACATGATATAAGAACCAGCTACACGGACACAGAGAGATTGGATTGTGTTACGGGAGCAGCTTGAGCATGCTTTGGTGCTGTGTTGGTGTAGGGTCTACAACTCTGCCGATGGTAAAACGCTGATGGTAGGCACTGATGAGACTATTCAGCTTGCCTTCGCGGTGCATCTGCCGAAGAACCTTAAGCACAGCGTTGGATCCCTTTGACGGTACACCCTGCTCGCCTAGGAACACTGTGACTTTGTTTGACGCTAGCTCTCCGAGCTGACGTACTGTATCTTTGTAGCTGGATGATAACTCGTCGAGCGCGTACCCGTCTTCGATGAAGAGCCTCATGAAGGCCACGAGCTGCTTGGAATCCGATTTCTTGTGCTTATTAGTACTCTGCCATCCACGCGGAACAGCCGTGTACCACGCAAACCACGTGTCAACAAGCGGTATTGTCTTGGATCGACGGCGACGCTTTACTGGTACGATTTCATCTTCGTCTCTTACTCGCTTGGCTTGATTATCTCGTGCTAAAGTTTCCCCTTCGGTGTTGTTCATTGCAGCTTCTAGCGAGTTAACTCGAGCTTCAAGGCTACGGTTGACCTCAATTAACCTTTCAATTAAGGCAGTTTGATAATTCAACGCAGCGTTGGCCTTTACAATTCTTCAGTCATGGCTTCGGCGGTGGTGTTGGCGTGTTCATTTGACGCTGTGAGCCGTTGTGACCATGCAAGCAGGTTGGTCGTCGTCACTCCAGAGGTTCCGCACATAGGTGAATTGTCTTCATTGCAGGTGTCTTCGCGTTGATCTTCACTAACGACGGGTAGTGGAGGAGGAGGGTTGCTGTTAGCACATCTCTCACAACAGCGCAGACGCTAAAGGCCTTGTTACCCAGATCATGGCTCGAGTTGAAAAGCTTCCGGCTAACCTCTCTAACCTTTTCTAGTGTTGCAGCGTCGAAGGATTTCAGGGGACGGGAGAGAAGAGGCTTGCTTTGGCGTCATCCCACTCAGCACC